AGCCCAATTACTGTATATGGAAGATTTAAAGTCCAAACAGAAATACACAAACCAAACAAAGGAAAGTGTAATACAAAACGACACGCATATAAGATGTATATTGTTTGGATTTATTAAAACCTGAAAACAAATGTTGGAGGGAGAATGTGCACTATAAAAAGGGCGGTAAAAAAGTTGTGCTAAAGAAAACACCTCGGAATAAATAGGGGCTAACTTAACAAGTTTTAGAAGACATTGAGGACATTTTATTTTCTGCAAATTTGGGCACAACAAAGGCACACTATCAAGCTACCACAAGGGAATCACAGAGTGCATGCACATGAGGGCATCAGGCTTTGCCCACGAAATCCACAAGTTTAAGTGGAGACAATGTTCAGATTTTGTTTTTTAAAACCTATTCAGTTTGCTTTCATTGTGAAATATTCAATGTCATATCATAATTATGAACAACGGTATTTAAGTACCTAAACTTAGGAAAGGATCATGTTTTGGTCCAAAATAACTACTCCTCGCTTTACTTTGGTGACAATTATGACACAGAGTATCTTCTATGATAACAATTTATTTGACAAATCCATCTAACCATACCTGATTTTTATACAAACGTTTCCCCCTACCTCATTTGACTTCCTCAAGTCATTCTGTGAGAAGATATTTAGAGTTTTCGAGTAAACTAAAAGGGGCCCAAAATAGACCCCTGCCTGACTCCTCGAAAAAGAGAATTACCAGATTAAGAGGCCTCTCCAAACTGGAATTATAGGGAAAAATAGTGAACTCACCTTAACCCACTTGATAAACAGCCCATCTGTTTAGTAGTTAAATTGCCCCAAAATTGTCAAATTCAAGGCAGTTGCATTGGCACAAACCTTTTGTATTTGACACTTTCTCACCCCTTGGTGCAGTAGCTAACACATTCAGATATAATGTAGCTACTGTTGATTACACAAGTGTGGGGCAAAATCATTCTAGCAACAGCAATGATAACAAGACAATGGTCCAGACAAAATTTCCAAGGGCCTAGTATTTAATCCAGGGAATGGCCCACTATCCAAGCATAACGGGTGAACCTGTTTGACAGATTAGAAATGAACCAAATCAAGGGCCACATCACTGATGACAATGTAGCTTTTCAATGGCCAATGAAGATGTGATAAAGAACGCACAGAAGTTACAAATAATATCAATAATGAAGTTGTGTGACAGGAGTAGCAGGGACTAAATAAAAATCATTACATCTACAGTGTCATTTAAACCTTTATGCTTTCAAGTTGGCTTCTCAGTGGTAGGAGTCTTAATACAAACCTTTGGCTTTTCTCAGTACTTAGTTGGCCGGGGATGTGTGAGTGTGATGTCATTTGTTCTAGACTGACACTGACCAGATTGTTAAATCTGACCTCTTTTGTCTTAAGCCCTGTTATCTATCAAACAGTAACACATTAACCAGATGTCAGCCCTTCTCCCCATAAATGCCCGTCTTTCCTCCTTTGATATCCTGACATAAACTCTATGAGTTCTTTTATTTGCACAACTTAAAAGAACCTAGAAGTTAGAGGAAGTGTCCATCTATGTTTTTAGGCTCAGTTTAAATGAAGGCTGTTTCTAACAAGTTACTGACAGTTTATCTTAGGGGTCTGGAATCCAGGTTTATTCAGTGATTTGCATGAAATAAAAGGGTTTCAAATGAATACATATTATATCTTCACACATGCTTCTCCATGCTTTGAGTGGGACGAGACAAAACATTTGTATGGGATATGAACCACAACCTGCACTGTTTAGACATTTCCTGCCACATCTTAGTCAGGGGGCTGCATGGTGGTGCAGTGGTTAGTGCTGCAGACTCACAGCAAGAGGGTTCCCGGTTTGATATTTTGACTGGGGTCTGTCTGTGAGGAGTTTGCATGTTCTCCTCCTGCATGCATGGACTCCCTGGTACTCCAGATTCCTCCCACAATTCAAAAATACATCAAGTCAGGAGAGCCTTTGGGAATTGTCCTATACATCAAAACATTTTAAACAAGCAGGTATGTGGAGTGATGGGGGAAACTGATAATCAATGATAAATTCATAATCTGAAGTTGCATTGTTTCTTAAACTGTATATTGTTTTCACTGCCATTAATTTCACTTATACATCATTAACAGCATCCCACAGATTCCACTTGAGGGTAAATGCATGATTTCACCACACCCTGTAATCATATCATCTCGCTAATGATGCAGCTACTGCAGGAAAGGATCAAAGACATCATGATAACAAGGAAGGAGACATATACGCCTCATGTGGCTGGAGTACAATAATCTACTTTAAAGTTTCAGTAATTCATCAATGAGTCAAGCAAGAGACTAGAAATAGTAGCAGAGGATTTACTGTAATTTCAGAAGAAGGCTCAGGAAGACTGTGTTGAAGTGGGAATTTAAGTAACAGGTCAACACAGCACCATCTGGTGGTTAGAAAAGTTTGACAGTATCCAAACTGACTAATTAAACTAGGCGTAATCCAGTGTGTAAATAGTGTGTAGTGTAAATCCAGTATAGTAGGTACACTCACTAATACAACAGCTCTGCCAAAATGGTAAGTGGACTTGAGCTTGTATTGCACTTTTTTTGTGTTCTGACAACTCAAAACTCTTTTTACACTGAAGGTCACCCCTTCACCCCTTACACACCTCATACCACCTCATACACACACTGATGGCAGAGGCGGCTTTGAATAGAGTCCATCACTATTAAGTTATCCCACTTATACACATTCAAACGCCCTTGATGCAGCAGACACTTTGGCATGTGGCTGCTGGAGCTGGGGATTGAACACCCACCATTCCAGTTGAGAGACAATCGACTTTGTCACTGAATCACACCCCCCCCACCCCCATTTCTTATTTATTTAAATTTGCTCATCTTTCAACTTCTTCAGTTTTGATTGTATGATCTTTTATATTGTGTTTATAGGCCCTCTTTGATTAGTATTGGTTGTCAGTCCATAGTCTTATCTAATCACAAAGGTAATAATTATTTCTTATTTTTATTATTGATGTTGTAGAGGATATTTCTTGTTGGTTTCTGAGTGTGTTGTATTTAAACTTCCCTCTAATGTTCTGCCCTCGATCAACTCGGTTCAGTTTAACTTGGTTTAGTTCAACACCACAGTAAACAGCAACCTGGGTTTAAAAGTTTTAGTCGAGTAATACCTCGCTTTACAGTGTCACTGAATGAATTTTATTTGTGAAGGCAGACTATGAGGCAGAGGTCTTGTGTTGTATAGTTCATAAAAGTGTCCCTAAAGAAGCGGCTGGTGATTTATATTCTACTCGGGATCTAAAGCACGCATCTCATGTCATAATTAGAAACACAAGTTGTTCTTAGGGTGCAATTTGTGCATTAACAAATCTTTTTTTCATTCACCTATGCATGTTATCTTTTCTTTTCCCATTTGTTTTATGAGACTTTTTGTTTAAAGTAAAGTAACATCAAGTATTATGTGCATATTTGTATTTTAAATACTTGTTATTTGATAGTTTAAAAAAAGTGCATCTAGTACTCCAACTTCGCATATGGTTTTGTGTTTAAGATTTGTGTGTAAGAAGTTACTTTGATGAAGTTATCTTTATACCAAACTTCCTCACACTTATTTATTTCCCATAAGCTTCAGCTAGCTCTTCATTCAATGCACAGAGTTACATTTTCAAACCCAAGACTCAATCACTTTTCACAGATGTAACATGCTGACAAGTTAAAATAATGTGAGTGTCTTGTACAAAGTTTAGCAAACATTTCCTCAAATTAAACCTCTAGTATCTTCTTTAACCTTGCATCCTAAATAAGCTAAATTATAATGTTTGGCTACATAGCATTAGTCTGTAATGACTGTTTCACAGTTTTTTTTCAGGTTTGACTAATCAGACTAGCAGTGATTTGCTGCTTCCTGCACCATGTGTGTGCATGTGAGTGTGTGAGTGTGAGTGTGTGTGTGTGTGTGTGTGTGTGTGGCTGCAACGGTGCTGCAGCCACATTAGTTTCTGCCCACACAGACCTCCTCTGTTCCTGCACACGGTAGCTCTTAAGAGTCAATTCATCAGCTCATACAAAGAAGTGTTTAGCTCTGCTCAGACGGCTTCTGTGACTGAGCTGTATTATCTTTACTGCAGTCTGGCTTCACTCTGACTGTGTCTGTACCTTAACTACTTCCTCAGACGACATGTTGTTACAGCCGGCGATGAAATGGAAACAAGGGCTCCTTTCAATGACACAGTGTGAAAACTTCAACTGCTAGTTGTGTTAGGTGAGCAGAAGAAACAGAGCGACACAGGAGAAGGAGGACAGGTCACCGCTTTGACTTTATTCTCTTAACCTTCATTAATGTGACACATGGAGGGAATTTTACATCATATACAAACATAATCATATGCCTGCCATTGTCCCCCTTGCCTTGCTGTGTGTTTTAAAGATTTAAAAAAAAGGACATGTACAATACATGAAAGCACAAGCAGTCATCCGCTAACCGTACACAGGTGTAGGTGGAGTGTTTTTGGCTCAGCCTGTAAGATGCTGCACTGTGGGGGGTCGGACCTCACAGGCGACGAGATGTCTCAAAAGGCTCCCGCACAGATCTTGGAGAGGTCATAGATAGATGGGAGTTCTGACCGGGTCCATCGCTGCTGTTTACAACCTATTAATATAGAAAATGAGAGATTTATTAGTGCATTTCAGGTCATGTTGTTTTCCATGTGAATGGTCAGCTTGCAAAGAGTTAAAGTTCAATAAAGTTAGAGACAAACTTCAATTGTCAGTTGATTTGAGTGTCTAAAATATCTATGCAGAACATTTTGCAAGTGATTACTTCTGTCTCTTCTGATCATTTCTTGCTATAGTGACATTAATGTATCCAAATCAAAAAAACAAGATTTTATCTACTGTATCTCTCACTTTTGATTCCAACTTTTCCACTTCTACATCTACATATTATTTTCTTCTTTACACACCTGTGTCTGGGTCATCGCCTCAGTTTTGGAACCAGCTGATGAAGTAGGTGCAGACGCCCTGGAAGCTCTTCCAGCAGTACTCGTTGGCCATGCGGGATGCTTTGGAATCAGTCTGCTCTGTGGGACGAGTAGTGGTCTTCCCAGGCTTAGGGGTGGTCTTCTTGGACTGGGGGCCCTTGCCTGGCTGGGGCTTGACGGGCTGTGGCTTGACAGGTTTAGGAGTAGTGGCAGGCTTTGTCTGGGCTGGCACCACAGGTTTACGTGGCTCCTGGACCGGCTTAGATGGCTTGGGGGCGGTGGTCTTGGGCCAGGAAGCCAGGAAGGTCATCTGGGCCTCATCTGGGTATTTCTTGCACATCTGTGAGCGGTAGACTTTTGGTCCCTGGCAGGCATGACTCAGCTTCCTCATGTCCCACATCATCTGGGTGAAGTAGTGGCGAGGGTTAAGGTTGTATGCACGGCACAGGTTGGGTTTGCCCTGGAAATCGCAGTAGTAGGAGCGTCCAGCAGTCTGGCCCTGGCTCTGACCTTTACAGGAGACACGCAGGCGAGTGTAGTCCCCAACTCCAGAGACCACCATGGTGCAGGAGTCTTTGGTCTTGGTGATGAATTTGATGGGCTCATCCCAGACGCTTCGTTGCTGCTGTTGCTGCTGTTGCTGCTGTTGCTGCTGCTGCTGCTGCTGTTGTTGCTGCTGCTGCTGCTGCTGCCTGTTGTCGTTGCTGGCGTTGTTGGTCTGAGCGTTTGACACACAAAGAGTCGCTGCTAGGCACAGCAGCAACATCCTCATCCTGGCTCTCATGGCGTTGTGTTAGTGATGGATAGATGAGGGTATTGGGTGATGTGTGTATGTATGTGTCTGCTCAGAGGGGTGAGGTGTGCAAGGGTAGACAGCATCTGAGTGTGTCTATATAAGGCCTCAGCTCACAAAGAAGGTATTATTCAGGTGAGCTATAGGACTCCTCCTCCAGAACTGAAAACCCCCACTTCACACCACACATACAAGCTAGTCCACCCACCCACCCAACACACACACACACACACACACACACACACACACACAGGCACGCACCCTCACGCACACACAAGGCTTGTGTGGTATGTTCAAAACTTTAAAAAAGTGATAGGTGATGGAAGGAGGAGGGGAACATTAAGGAAGGAGGAAGAGGCAGGAAGGGAAAGTGGTCAACTGGGTCTGTGGGAGACGAGGGGGGAGAAAGCCAGCACACACATGAAGCCAAATGTTGTGCATAAGAGTTGCGAGACATTATATAATCTCACATAGGAGGCTCTTTGACTATTGATGAGGGGGGAGACCACTGAGGGTCCAGAGCTCTATCACAGCCTGAAGTTATTTGCTGAGGAATTAAAGTTGATCTATGACCCTTGTAACAATAAAAAAAAACTGCTCATGTTCATCTCAAGTCACAGAGACTAGGCGGCACTACTTTAAGAGCTGCATACAAAAATAAATAGTTGTACAACCTTAATAAACACATTACATTCAGCCCAAGAAACTGCTAAAAAGCACAGTGCTTGTTGAAGTTATAATTCCAATGGTGCCAATTAAGTCAGGGCAAATGTTCAGAAATGTGTTTTAATGTAATGCACAAGTTTCCATTTCAGTGTGGTCAGACAGTGTAGAATAAGATGATTCATGAAAGTATTAGTGTTCCTATTGACAGAATAATGATGAGAACAGTCTTTCTCCTAAAAATCTAAAAAATAATAAGTGATTTTGACTTTTACTAAGTCAGTGCATTGAGAAGTTTAGCTAGTTCTGCCAAACTACAAGTGGCATGAAGTCTTTCTGATGGCTAATGTTACCTTGTGATAAATGACATTTAGATAGACTTAAAATAAACAATGCAATTCACCATATTCAGACCGCGACCATTTTTTATCTGATGTCACGCACAGGAAGCAAGGTCATTAGGTTCACATAGGCTCCACATCTTTGCCTGTGTCTAGGTTGAACGAAAGTTATGTTTAGAAAGCGTTTCTAATATGGCAACCTCATATGTTCTTCAAAAGTCCCCTTTAGTAACCAATGGGTGGCGTCACTGAGACTACAACCTTGTTTAAACAGTCTGTGAGTGTTCCATTGTGCAATATTTAAAGTTAAAACAACGTATTTAATAACTCATTAGCTATTGTGTTGATGGAGTCAAACACCGGCTTAAATTGCATTAGCTAGGAATTTACCAGCTTAAAAAATGGCACTAGCTAGGAATGAATGCCTTTCCTATTGTGTTGTGCAACTTAACAAAGAGGTAACAGTTAGTTTGTGGGTGAGCTGTGTAACTACCAAAAGGAAATATTTGCTTTAAGCCAACTCCTAACTAACTAACTAACTAACTAACTAAGCTGAACGCTAACGCTAACTATTCTCTGTAGCCAGGAGTTATCAAATTGTTTTGAAACCTGGAAGGGATATTGACATTTTCTGTGTTGCTGATTATTTGAGAAGTGATCAAATGGTAATGATATGTCAAAAAGGCACCATTTGTAACATTTCTACAACATTCAATCTTTCAGTATGACATTGTAACAGTATTTGACTGTTTGACCTTTCTCAGCTGTTCTCCACATGGCATCAGAGAAAAAGGGCCACTGCATGACAGTAATATGGTATAGACATCTCTTCAAAGCTAATCCATCTTCAACTTGCTCTTTATGTCTGTTTACCATCATTAAAAATGTATTTCATAAGTGTTGTAACATTGAGTTTGTGAGCAAAGAAAAAAAAACTATACAACTGTGGTGCAAAACTAATCGTGCAACAACCCATATATTAAAAAAACAACTTCCCAACGCTTCCTCAGCTTTGTGTTGAAATCTCCGCTGTCCAGAAACATACATGGAATTAAATGCCCTCTTTCTTGCTGTAATTAGGCTATAAGCTATAAATCCTGAATGGCAAAGTAGTCACTGCATAAAGCCTATTCTGCTCTAAATACACAATTTCACTATTCTGTCTGGTGTAGTTAAATGATAAGATTGATTCTGTAACAGTATCTAATTGTTTTAAGACTATAGCAATGTATGTTTGGCCTAGCTTAGTTTAGCACATGAGCAAATGCTAGCCTTTTTCTGTCCAAATGCAAAAAATTCACCCAGACAGCTTAAGCTGATATAGGAAAAGTGATATCTTCCTTGTTTAATCTCTACAAGAACTGTATTTAGGGCGAATATACATGGCATAGTGACTTTCAGGCACATAGCCAATTAAAACAACTTGTTTTTACAATTCTGTATTTGCATGGTTTGAACAAACAAGATATAACATGTTAACTTAAGTGCTGGTAGGTAATGTTTTTCTGCCTGTGAACAGAGGATATCTCTTCATATATAAAGTGGTATTTCAATGTAAATTAACTCTGGGGGTTAAAGTAGCTGCCTTCAATGGAATAACAGCTTGCAAAGGCTGCATAAAACATTGCTACGCTGAGCTACAGTAGCAAAGTCACAAAATCACATTAGGAAGTGATACCAAATGCCAAATTTGGATGTTCATTAAGTTAAGCTGAGCCAAAGAAAAGAACATGCTTTAACACTAATTACACACTGATTATATAGTCTACTGCATGACAGCAGGGCCCAGTATCATTCCATTGTTCAATATGGTATGCTGGTTATGTTCAAAGGAAGGCCTGCATAGCATTGAAACTAAACAGAGGCTGCCTTTAAAGAGACTTACGAATTCCATATGAACTGGTTGGCCTGGACACAGAGCGGAAGAAGAGAGTGTATGTATAGCCTGCTGCTGTGTACAGAGTCACATATGTGTGCTAATGCACGAATGCCCTCGGCACATTCAGGAAGTTTTGTTTTTATAGCCATCAATCTGGTGGGGAGAAGAGAAAAAAGTTCCCCTAGTGAGAGACATCAGGAATGCAAAGTAAACATATGAAGTGTGTGTGTGTGTGTGTGTGTGTGTGTGCTGTGCGTGTGTGTGTTGTTTGGAACAGATGTTTTCTTAAATTAAGTTAGTGTAGTCCTCTTCTGATAGGATGCAACAGCATCACACCACCCCAACCGCTGCCAAGCCCCCTCCTTCCGCCGCTCCCTGCTAACCTGTCAACCCTTTCAGCTGCTGCGTGTGCATGTATTCAGCACTGCATGTTACATGAATGTTCCCTGCGTTTCAGTTGATTTTGGCAGGACATGGGAAATTTGCTTTTGCTTTACTTGTATCATCGAATGGATTCTTTTCACTGCTATCTGGAGGCTGTTGCAAAGAGTTTTGAGGACGATAAAAGCACACTTGAAGATAATTTGGGTGATTTATGATCCATAAAAAGCGCCACAATGCTATCACCTTTCTGTGTGGGAGTGTATATTTGCCAAACTGTGTGAATCAGAGAACAGTGGTTATATTCATCCAGTTGGTGTGTTTGTGGACAATAAAACAAAGATTACACTTATTTGACTGAAGTTTTTATTCACTGATTATTGCTTTCCTTACAAACTCCAGCTGTTCAGTCACTTTTTAAGTGTTTTTTTTTCCTTTAACAGGTCACTGTCATCATGGAGGTTCTTGGTGTTTAATTTCTTAAACCACAGTATGGCAAAGAAAAACAAAACAAACTCTGTAAACACAAGCATCTCTAGCCACAACATTATAGACTGGGCTGTCACTCATGTTGTGGCCAGAGATGCCTAAGACACAGTATTTTGTTTGTTAGCTGTCTTAATTCCCTGTGAGGGTTTGTGTGTGGAGCTTATGTGCTATGTTGAATTGCGAGCGATATTGTTCAATAATTTAGAGTGCCACTTTCCTCATGAAAGTTTGAAGTTAAAATGAAATGTTTTTTCTTTTGGCTTTATTCTGAGAGTTAGCTGAGAAGATAAAAAAGCAACAGCCAAGAGGCCTTTAGCTTAGCATAGCTGAGCACAGCACAAAGACTGAAAATGGTTACATGGCTTGCCTAGCTCTGAACAAAGGAAACAAAATACACATACAAGCACCTTAACAGAAAACTTCTAATTCATTTTATCTTGTGTGTTTAAAGCTCTGGTAGGCAACTTTGGAAAAAAACAGCAAGAGTAAGCAACATTTGAAAGTATCCATTCAAAAAATGACTAAGTCAATCCCCCCAAAAAACATGAATGCACACTGTTGGATAATTATCAGATAAAGGGTCACTGCCCATCTTATTCTGTTTAGTTAAGATAAGATGGTGCATTGGAGAAACACAATGGATGCTAAACATAATCATGTTAGCACTGTTATTCTGATGCTTTTAGCATGCTGATAGTAGCATAAAGATAGAAGCACAAATGCTATCATGGCTATAGGCTGTTTGTTTTTTTTATACCATATTTGAATTTAGGCTAACCTGCTATTTGCAATTCATAAAAAGATATCAGAGGTGCATCTTCTCATCTAACTCTTGGCATAAAGCTAATGAATGTATTTCCAAAACTGTTTAGCAGTCCTTGAATTCCCTGATCAATGTAACCTGTGGAACCGAAATGATTCAAGCTAAATTACAATTATTCACAAAGAATAGAAGAGCTAATACTACAAAAGCTTCAAACATGTTATAAAACAAACATTAACAAAAATATATAAAACTTTCAAAAGTTTTGAAAGCTGTAAAAAATGTACACTTGTGTCACCATGTTAAAACTCATCAGTACAAACAAATGTTTTCTCTACAAATACAGTAAAAACTAGCTATGGAGGTACATAGTACTGATGGGAGATATTGTACAGACTGAGTACACTAACAGGACTCCTGGTGTACTGCTGGGGCTTCATTCAGGTGGGTTGAGAGAACACATGATATTTTACAATTGGCTGGCATTAGAGGTCCTTGTCAAATGGCTTGGAGGGGTGCCGGGGGTGTGATGCCCTCACCACACAGTTCCTGATTGTTGCTGATCTTCCCAGAGAAGGAAGGTTTGAAAGTCCAGTGATTCTGCAAAATAGAGTCTGTGTCAAAAAATGTACCAAAGTGCTCTTAAAAAAAAAAAAAGCAATATAAAAATGACACTTACCAAGAGGGAATTATCAGTTCCAGGTGTCTTGTCCGCTGTGGATTAAAAAAAAGAAATTAACTTTAGGTTCATTTCACTTTTGCACAGGCTCCAGACCTGCAGCAGTTTCACCCAATCATAAATCACATCCCGCCCATCCAAACCAAATCAAAACATATAGTTCACATAATGATCAGTGCATGAAGTCATTGTTTTTCAAATATGAACTTCGTTGGAAGAAATGGATTTAGGTGTAAAAAAAATATAACGTATAGAATATAGAAAAATTATTTTTAAAAGTTATTATTTACATCAACAGTACAAGACAGTATCATCTGTAAAATAAAGAGCTGGATACTATTTAGTGCAGCATTTATAGTCCCCATGGCATGAAAAATAAAATTTTCACAGTTTTAATCCAGCATTCTGTTTGAAATATCTATTTATCTGCCAAATATATTTCACTTAAGCATTTTCTGAGAAGTTTTACATCAAAAATACTGTAATGTCCTGTAATGTCTGATGACTCATCCTGCACTCTGGGGGATGCATTTTTCAGCCAATTAAAAATCCTTGTCGGAGCTAACGATCCAATCAAATTCATCTAACGTTATGTTCTGCCTTCTATCTTGTGATTTGTTCTATCCCATTTCAGTTGGAAATACGTCACAAGATGGCATATAGAACACAGCATGTAGACCAAACAAGCTAACATTTTGCAAACACAAAATTTCAACCCACTGCAGAAGGCCTCCTTCATACTGGTTTAATCCAAGGACAAATATAAGAATCGTTGACACAGTTTGGATGCATGGCAGTGTCAGTGTAAAAGCGGTCTTCAGCTTCAACTGCTCCATAATAAGAAACTTTTCTGATGAACAGACCCAGAGCTTGAATGCACATTAGTGGTTAGAAGACATTGAGGATGGATGAAGACAGTGACAGAAGAGACAGAGGGCTGGTTTCTGTCCACCTGTATTTTAAATGCATTTTTCATCTTCACACCGATAAACCTGAGTTGAAAGCTGAATATTAATTTAAAAAAAACAAATAAAATTGTTGCTGTTGTTGGTTGGCTGAGGTGGAAGTGAGGTGGAAACTTCAATTGGCAGAAACCTCATACTCGGCACTCTGTTGAAGCAGATTCAAACATTGTTAAAACTCGTGACAGATTGCTGTTCTGGTTCTGCCAAGGTATCTGCCAGTTTAAGGGAAGTTTTTCTTTGCCACTGTTGTCAAATGTTGCCAGGTTCTCGCTTATGATGCATTGTTTTGTCCCTCAGATAAAATGGCAAAGAGTAGTCTGAAACTTCTCTTTGTGTCCTGAGATAATTCGGATATGATCTGCAGCTATATAACAACAAAAAAAGATTGATTTTGTACTGTTCTGCTGCAACTGTTCATTGACAACTGACCAGGTAATACGGGCCACAAACTGTTAATCTTCTAACAAACTTAGAACAGTTTTGTATATATAAAAAAAAAGCTTTCTTGTGCAACTTCGTAAACTGAGTCATTATCTTTTGCAACGTATGGATGAAAACTTGGCCATGGACGTATGAAGACAAAAAAGTATTCATAGATGATGTCAGATTGATGATGATGATGAAAAGGTTGGTGGTTCTCAGATGTTGTTAGATGAAAGTTAGTTGGAAGTATCAACTGATTATCAGTACCTCATCGACGATTTCCTTTGGCTCACCAGTCGGAGTAGCTTGGTGGAGCAGATGCCCGGGGGAACCGGGTCAGAGTGTCAGAATAGGGAGAGCTACATGTACACACACACAGGTACATATATAATGGGATTTTTTTGAATATATATATAAACCTAACATTTGTGGCAAATGTGGCAGATTTTTCACCGTCTGCAGACTTTCAATCATGCTGAAAATGATCCCTCCACCAATTAACACGGCAGCATGCAAGAAAGCAGAGTCTCCAATCGTACCTGAGTACAGCAAGATCTCCATGGATTTCACGAATATGCTCACCATGATTACCTGTATTACCCAGACTGCAACAAAAGAGCAGGGGGTCAGGTGAGAGAAGCAATGTGAGGACTCCATTGGAAGCATCATGGATGGAGTGATCCTCAGAAAGCATCTCTCAAGATGGAAATGTAGTTGAAAAATAGAGGCGGAGAAGACGATGAAATGAAGATTTGTGTGAAGAGGAAGGGACAGAGCTTTTGACTTCTGATCAAAAAGTAAGAAAAATGTGCAGAGATCCAGAGCTCAAGTATCCCATATGAAACAGGGGAGTGGGAACGTAGAAGAGGACGGAAGGACGCATGAATGACGGACAAACATTAAAGTGCAACAAGCCACGGGTAAGAAGTGCTGGAGAGAGATGCAGTAAACATGAGGAGAAAATATGAGGAGAATCAAAGAACAGAGAAGGAAAAAGAGGATTCATTAATTTCATTTTTGATCTTTAGAAAAGATTCAGGAAAAACTAGAAACAAATCGGACAACTCTGAGGCTGGATGTACAAAATATATTTTTATTTGGACTCACTCTTCGAAGACGTCCTCTGTGTCCATTCTTCGATAATACTTGGCCAGTTTGATAGAGAAGATAATACTGGGAATCAGAAGGATGCAGCAGCCTCCAAGACCAAACCAGAATGTGTTCTGAAAACACATTTAGAAGATAATTGTAACATTTGTTTCTCCAGTTAACCTTTGTATCATCCCTGTCGCATAAAAAAATACTGAATTAGTTACAAATTTAAGTCATAAAGAAACAAACATCTTTACATCACATAAAGTTAGTGAAATGAGTATTGTATTTGAAATTGTATTTTATTTCCTATTTTTTAGACATCTTGAAGATTGACGAGCTCTAATAACGTCTAAAACTCTAATCTATGTATATATTATACCAATCATGAGTTTCAATCCTACAGATATTTTTTTATCACACAAAGACAAACATTCAAGGCTACACAAGAAGTATATGTTTGTGCCTGGTAATATACACATTACGGGGCACAAACAGAACATATAAATATAAACATATACAGTACATGTACACACGTGGCAGCTGGGGCTGGAGCACTGATATAAAAAATCTCTGTTTAAATTAACCACGGTCTGTGGTTTGTTTGAGCTCTCATTAAATTCCCACCACAAACTCACATGCATGATATATAGCTTATATGTAAATATGAACCTTTACAACACTTCAGGGGTCATAGTGCAAACGGTGAATAATCTATGTGTATGTAACTCCCTGCCCTGCCTCAGAACAGACTGTATCTCATCTCAGTGTGTACAAGTGAATGTGTTGAGGGCTTGAGAACATACTGTTCTCATATGTGTGGCCCAATGACTCCGCAGCCTTCATCGCTCCCTCAAACAGTCAAAGAGCCGTTTATGTTTCCAGTCGGGATCCAAATAAATGTGGGGAACATGTTCAGTACATACAGCTGCAAAATGAATCAGAGCACCTCAGCAGCCACGCATACACACACATAGACACACACACACAGACACACACACGCACACAATCACAGTGTTTTGGTGCCTTACCACTGAATCGACTATGAAGCTGCATCCTACTATCTCCATGCTGTCCACAATGTTACTGATGGGTTTGCACTGGGCAACCTCTGCCGTCAACTGTGGGGGAAGATACACACATTATGTATAGTATACAGCAAAAAACCCAAATTATAGATTACAGAGAGTGTGCTCATGACGTCAAATATAAAACCTCAACTTGATGAGTATGCATGCATCAGTGGAAAGACTCTTCACATGTGGACATTTGGTTCCTGCTGCCTAAACTATCCTCTATCTTTTTATTACAGACTTCCAATTTCAATCAAAGTGGCTTTATGGACTAATAAAATCCCTCTGGTTATAATTTACAAAGCTTCTTTTATCTAGAACCCAGAACTTCCTCTTTACTCTAAAGCGTAAAGCGTGATTATTGAAAGTCAGCCCATTTATAAAACCTCCCTGTGAACTCAATGCCCTGCAAATAATAAAGACAAAAATCAGAAATAAGAAACAAATTAAGACCACCTGGTCTAACCTGAAATGACCATAACCTGGTCGCTGGCGCTCAGTGGGTTGAAGCAATAAACAATTGTGCTCTTGCTTCCTGCTGACAATGGGCCTCATTCACCAGTATGTTCTTACTTGATGAAGGACCAGCTTTCTCAGAAAATGCTAACTAAAATAACTTCAACTAAATGCATGACATGTCAATACAAAATAAAAAAAAATAAAAAACTGTATATAAAAAAACCTTGAATGGACAACAAGAATTAAAACTGGGAATTTACTAATGCATTGACTAAATGTTTTAAATAACCATGACATGTATGCCTTTTCATCCTTATTATACTTAAAATATTTAATCTTAAATTAAAGAGTTTACAATCAAGAATGTGACAATGTAGGCTACATATTGAAATGTAACGGTTTTGACTTTCATATGATTGTCGACCACTACCACCAATATTGCCATGAAATATCGCATCTGTACTAAAAACCAGCTGATTAATTGGAGCCTTTTTAAGGGCAGGCAGGGAACATACATGATTGTGATTAATGTCCAACAAATTGTAAAGGTGACAGATCTAGCCTTACTAAAAGAAATTGCAGCCGGTGCCTTCAGAAGAGAGCTCATCTTCAGAGACTGCAAAACACGTTTGAAGCGTGTGATGAATGGCTTATCAGCCGATTCTGACTGCCAAGGCATGTACTGTATTGCTGCAATTACATAATTCCCTGGAATAGCATCTAAGCCCCAAGACACAGCCACTTTTTTTTTTGCCTTTTGGGGCCATCTCTTGCAACTTCTACTTGTTTTCACCTAACTGTTCTCGTCCTGATCGTCTTTATATGGAGAGATGGAGGCGTGGTAGTAAGCTGATTGCAGGTTGCAGGCACGCGCCTGTCAATTTAGAATGATTCTGATTCACTAACTTACGCAAGGTGGTGAGAACAAAATTGGCAGGTACGCACGTGTCATGAATCTGACTGACATGAGTGAGACATTTTCTACACATGTATTAATGAATGAGGCCAAATATCTCTACTGTAAATACTCAATTCCTAATATTTAAAATGACACATAGTACTATATATAAAAAATAAAATGTTAGTATACTCACCGAGTTTTTAACCCATGCTGTGTATTGTTTGAAGTATCCCACTAAGCTCTCAGTGTAGCCCTTTGTCTCCTAGACAACAAGAGAGAGAAAAGGTGTTGGTAAATAATTGATGTTGGATTTAATCAGAAAGATAGAGCCTGGACTGAGCTGAGGAACAGATACACATGTTTTTTTTATTTCATATACCTAGGATGATTGACCAGACTAAAGCAAGTAAAAGGACAAGAAATGCATCGACATGAACACAGTTATAAAATGCTCATTCCTACCTGTTTAACCA